ACAAAAAAAAAAAAGAAAGAAAGAAAATGACCCATGTGCAGCTGAAAAAAATGTGTATTACACTGTGGTTGGGTGGAACACTCTGTATATGTTTACCAAGTCCATTTATTCCAAGCTCTGGTTCAGTTCTGCTACTTCTTTGCTAATTTTTTGTCTGGTTGATCTATCTTTTTGGGATAAGGGTGTGTTAAGGTCTCCTGTTAAGATTGTTGTATTGGATATTAGATTTTTCATGTCTATTAAGGTTTGTCTTATATAGTTGGGTTCCCCCGTGTTTGGTGCATACATATTTATGAGTGTTATCTCTTCCTCTTGAATTTTTCCCCTAACCAGTATATAGTGACCTTCTTTATTTCATTTAATCATTCTTGATTTGAAGTTGAGACTGTCTGAGAACAAGATTGCTACCCCTGCTTTTTTCTGAGGTGCTGGGGCATGTAGTATTGGTATCCATCCTTTGACTTTCAGCCTATGAGTTTCTTTATGAGTTAAGTGTGTTTCTTGTATACAACATATTGTTGGGTTTTGTTTCCTAATCCACTCGGCCAATCTATTTCTCTTAATTGGTGAATGGAGACCATTTACATTGATGGTTATAATTGAGATGTGTTGACTTACGATTGACATGTTATTTACCTGATGTTTTTTAACTCTTTTTTTTTTTTTCCTGTGTTTAATTGTTTTGTCTTATTTAGTGGGTTCCTTCTGTTCTCGTTGGTAGAGTTCTGATCATTTTGGTCCTTCTCTAGAACATCTTTCAGTAGTCTGTGTAGGGTTGGCTTTGCCATCATGAAATTCTTTAGTTGTTCTTTGTCATGAAAGTATTTCACTTCTTTGTCAAACTTGAAAGAGAGTTTTGCAGGATATAGTAGTCTGGGCTGGAATTTGTTTTCATAGAGGACTTGGAGTATACTCTGTTCCATGCTCTTCTTGCCTTCATGGTTTGTGAAGAGAAGACAGCTATAATTCTGATGGCTTTTCCTTTGAATGTGATCTGCTTTTTTTCTCTAGCAGCTTTCAGTATGATATTCTTTTGTTGGATTTCTGGGATCTTGACTATTATATGTCTCAGTGTGTTTTTAATTGGGTTGAAGTTATTTGGTGTTCTGTATGCTTCGGTTACCTGAATGTCAGATTGTTTCCTCATATTTAGGAAGTTTTCTGCTATTACTTCT